AAAAAAGGAAAAAAAGGAAAAGAGAAAGGTTTTAAATTAATAATCTAAGTTCCTACACCACCAGAAAATAGAAAATAATAGCAAAATTAACCCAAAGGAGGAAATTATAAAGATAAAACCAGAAAGCAATGAAATTGAAAATAGGAAACAATAGAGAAAATCAATGAAACAAAAAGCTGACTCTTTGGAGAAAAAATTCAATAAAATTAAAAACCTCTGCCAAAAGATGAAGAGAGGGTCAAAAATGACCAATATAAGGAATGAAACAATGTAAAAGAGATGTCAGTGTATATCTGCAGCCATTAAAAGACTAAGAATGGAATACGCTGAAAATTTATGCTCATAAATTCAATACTTGGAAGAAGTAGAGCAATCTTCAAAACTACCAAAATCAACCAAGATGAACACTTGAATAGTCCTATAATCATTAAAGAAATTGAATTTGTAACTTAAATCTCCTGAAAAGCAATGGTAGCCCAGATAATTTCACTGGAAAATCTACCAAATTTTAAGGAAGATTAAATACCAATTTATATAATTTCTTGCAGAAAATAGAAGAGGAGAAATATTTCCCAACTCATTTTATGAGAGTAGGATTTCCTGATACTAAACTCAAATTAAGTACTAAAAAAAAGACTATAGACAGTATCTTTCATAAACTCAGATGTAAAACTCAAAATATTAGCAAATACACCAAAGTAAAGAAAGAATGAACACTAGTGACCAAGCAGGATTTATTCCAGATATGGAAGCTTATTCAACATATAATATCAGTTAGTGTATCTACCATATAAATAGGCTAAATATGACACGATCATATTAATTATGCAGAAAAAGTAATTGACAAATTTAGCACTTATTCATGATAAAATTCTCATCAAATTAGAGGGAAACCTTCTCAACCTGATAAAAACATCTGTTAAATATCTACAGCTAATATAATGAATGACTAAATCCTTTCTCCCTAAGATTAGGAATAAGGCAAGAGTGTCCACTCCCACAATCTATTAGAACAATATACTGGAAGTTATGCTCCTTTACTCCTAGATATATGCCCAAAGGAAATGAAGACACATGTGCACACAAAAACTGGTAGCTACATAAATGTTTATAGCAGCATTATTCATAATAGCAAAAAAAAAAAATGAAAACATCTCAAACGTCCATCAATTGATGAATGGATAAATAATATGTGGTATGTCTATATAACATAATATTATTAGGTAATAAAAAGAAATGAAGTACTGATACATGCTACAATATGGATGAACCTTGGAAATATGTTAAGTAAAAGAAACCAGTCACAAAGGATCACATTTTGTTTGATTTCATGTATCTGAAATGTCCAGAATGGGCACATCCATTAAAACAGAAAACAGATCAGCATGGAGGTAGGGGGGTAGCAAAGTCACTGCTAAAAGGGCATAGGATTTCTTTTTGGGGTGATGAATATGTTTTAAAATTGTGGTAATGGTTGCATGAATCTGTCAATGTATTAAAAACTTTTGAGTAGTACACTTGGGGTGAATTGTATGGTATAGAAATTAATTATATCTCAAAGCTGATACAAATAAAACTTTAAAATATAAAAAGAAGGCTAAAATGCTTATAGGATTTCATATTACAACTTTTAATATATAGAAATAATACTTTCTCTCCCATCTGTTTAGTCAGTAATGATTTGGACACAGACAAGGTCAAAGTGTTCCTTAATGTCCTCTAGAAAGTGGACTTTTCCAAAACAAGCTACTAGTAAACAAGAGTATAAAGGAACATGCCTCTGAAAAATCAAACTATTTCCACACCCATTGACACACACACACATCCCTATAAGTATATATGTGTAGATTAGATATACATATAAAACATACACGGATTCTCTGCTAGTTACAGGCCATTCCTTTCTGTGGATTAATATACCCATCAGTGCATGAATGGATAAAGAAAGTGTGATAGATATACACAATGGAATACTATTTGGCCATAAAAAAGAATGAAATCATGTCATTTGTGGCAACATGGGTGAACCTGGAGGCCACTAGTCACTATGTTAAGTGAAATAAGCCAACCACAGAAAGACAAAATATCATGTGATCACTCATATGCCAAATCTATAAAAGTTGATCTCACAGAAGTAGAGAGTAGAATAATGGTCACCAGAGGCTGGAAAGAGGAGGAAGGGATAGGAGGATGTAAGAGATGACGAGAGGTTGGTCGGTGGGTACAAAGTTACAGTTAGATAGGAGGCGAGTTTTAGTGTTCTCTTTCACAGTAGGGTGCATATATTTAATAATAATATATTGCATATTTCAAAATAGCTAGAAGAGAGGATTTTTAATGTTCTCACCACAAAGAAATGATAAATGTATATTCTAATTATCTTAATTCATTTACACATGTATTGTGGAATTCATTAACACATGTATTCACTGTACACATGTATTGAAATATCACACTCTACCCCATAGATCTGTACATTTATTATGTGTCAATTAAAAATAGAATAAAACTTTTTTAAAAAGGAAGAAAGGACTACAGGATCTTCTGATTTTGTGTGGTTAGCCTTGTTTGAGCTATTGTATATACACTTTGAAAAAGATGCATTTAAAAAATAGACTTTGTACTTTAGCCAATGCTCCCATCATTAATTTAATGTATTTTAACGTATTTCTTGAGGAATTTTAATTTTAGTGTATTTTAATTTTAATGTATTTTAATGTATTTCTTGAGGAATACTAACACCATCTTTGATGGAATTTAATAGTCCTGTTTGTTAATTTTCAGCTTCCTAGCGAGGATCCTGAAATTTTTGATGTTTCATCCAAGTGTCTGTCTATACTGGTTCAGCTTTATGGAGGGGAAAACCCAGACAGTCTGTCTCCTGAAAATGTGGAAACTTTTGCTGATTTGCTGGTATCCAAGGAGGATCCAAAAGAGCAGAAACTTCTGTTGAGGATTCTCAGAAGAATGGTGAGTTCACACAGAAAGTAGGGGATACCATGGGTGACTTCAGTGGCAGCTACATGGACAGTGAGTAGTCATTTCTTGGACCTAATTTCAAATTTCCAGAAAAGTTGCAGAAGGTGTAAAAGAACTCTCAGTTACCTTTCTCCTTGGTCACCTATTGTTAGCATTTATCATGTTGTACCTTATGTGCATATACATATATTTTTTCTGAACTGTTTGAGAGAAAGTTAGAGACATTGTGTGTCTACACCCCTTAATATATAAGTATGTATTTCCTTAAAAAAAAGATTATGTAACTTAAATATAGTAAACAGAATCAGGAAATTTAACATTTATACAATTCTTTTACCAATCTACTATCCATATTCCAATTTGGTCAACTGTCCCAATAACTTTTATAACCTTTTTTCAGTATAGGGTATAGTCTAGGAGTACCTATTTTAGTAGACATGAGTCTTTAATCTGGAATAGTCTTACAGTTTTTCTTCATCTCTCATGACATTTTTGAAGAACACAGGCTGGGTATTTTGTAGCATCTCCTTCAACCTGGGTCTGTCTGATGTTTCCTCATGCTTAGATTCATGAATACTCCGTAAGTGATATGGGTCCTTCTCAATCCATTACATCCGGATGCTCATGTTGGCTGTTTGCCTGTTACTGGTGGTGTTAGTTTTGATCACTTGGTTTAATCAATGTGTAGTTATTTTAATTTTATAATAATTACAAAATGGACACTTTCTATTAAATAACTCCTAGCATTCTACTATAGGAAAAACTTTCCCTTCTGCCTCATTTATTTTATTTTTAAAAAATATGTATGGCTGATATCAATTTGAAAGTACTTTTGAAGGCTGACTTATTTTCTATCTACAGTAAATCCTATTCTGCTGATTTTGAAGGCCATTATTTACAGTAACCAGTTCTGAAGTTAATAAAGGATAGAGGTCCTTTTTTAGTTTGTCATCTTCTGGTTTGTCAGTCTGTACTCACTTCTAAATCCTATTATTTTGAGGGGTCCTTTGGCAACTGGGTGCTCTAGAGAGTTATACTCAAGATGACTTTTGTGCCCATTTGATAAGTAGGCAGCTGCAGCAAGTGACCCAGCTGAATCTAATTGACAAGTGATGGGTGACAGAACTAACTAGAAGGAAGGAGATAAAGAGATTGATCATCCCTACTGCTGTTTTATGCTTTTGTACTACTATGTCCCCCTACCTCCAAACAAGACTTACTGTCTCAGCATAGTCTTTCATTACCTGAGTGACAGAATGATGACACAGTGTAGGCCAGTTTTCCAAAGTATAGGATAAATACTTTTGAGTACAGTAGATCTTGGAGATGACATTAAATCAGGTAGGAAGGAAGTTTTTACATTCCAGTTTTCTTTTGATCTGATTGATTGTTCAAGGCAAAAGTCTCAGTTTGGTACGACTGTTGTCTTTATAACTCTCTAATCCTTAAGAATCTCCCATTTTAACAGAGACCAGGCCTCTCAGACTCCCATCTTTTCCAGTGGAGATAAGGTATTTTTTTAAAAATTATTTTATTTAAAGAGACCGCAGAGTAGCTAAAATATTTAAAAAATAAAGTGAGAGAGACACCACCTGGTGTTAAGTTTATCATGTGACTACAGTAATGAGACAGTGTTATCGATGGAAGGGATAGATACCTAGATCCCTGGAACAGACATAGGGCTACACAAACATGCAACTAATTTTAACAAAAGTGTAAAAACAATTCAATGGAGGAACAGTAGGCCTTTTCAACAGGGTTACTAGAACAATTGGGAATCTCAGGTGACAAAAAGAAAAAAGACCTTCACTATACACTCATACTTATATATAAATTAACTCAAAATTGAATTAAGATATAAAATATAAGAACTATATAATGAGCTTTAGAAAACAATATAGGAGAAAGTCTTTGTCTGAGGGTTCAGCAGACGAGTTTTTTGTTTTTTTTTTGAGACAGAGTCTCGCTTGTTTGCCAGGCTAGAGTGCCGTGGCATCAGCTAGCTTGGATATATCACTATATATATATTCTCAAGCAATAAAAGATAGATATATTCCTCAAAATAAAATATTTTGGGCCTCAAGGACACTATCAAGAAAGTGAAAAGACAACCTGCAGAATGGAAAAAAAATTAAAAATCATATATTTGTTGAACAGTTACATTTAAAATATATAAACAAATCTTAAACTCAACCATATAAAGACAAATGACCACTGTTTAAAAATGAACAAAGGATTTACACGGACATTTCTCCAAAGAACATATGCAAATGGCCAATAAGCACGTGGAAAGATATTCCACATCATTAGGCATCAGGGGAGTAGAAATGAAAACCACAATGAGCTTACCACTCCGTAACTACTAGGATGGCTGTACTAAAAGACAGAAAATAAAACCCCATGTGGTGGGAATGTGCGGACACTGGAACTCGCATACATGGCTGGTGCAAGTGGCAGCTTCAGAAAACGGTCTGGCAGTCCCTCAAAAGGTTAAACATTCGAGTCACCATATGACCCAGCAATTCCACTCCTAGATATATGCCCAAAGGAAATGAAGACACATGTGACACACAAAACTGGTAGCACATAATGTTTATAGCAGACATTATTCATAATAGCAAAAAAAAAATGAAATATCTCAAACGTCCATCAATTGATGAATGGAAATAATATGTGGTATATCTATACTACAATAATATTATTAGGTAATAAAAGAAATGAAGTACTGTATACATGCTACAATATGGATGAACCTTGAATAATGTTAAGTAAAAGAAGCAGTCACAAAGGTCACATTTTTGTTCGATTCGGTTATCTGAAATGTCCAGAATGGGCACATCCATTAAACAAAACAGATCAGCATGGAGTAGGGGTTAGCAAATCACTTGCTAGAAGGCATAGGATTTTCTTTTTTGGGTGATGAAAATGTTTTAAATTGGTCGGTAATGGTTGCATGAATGGTCCAATTATTACAAAACTTTTGGAGTAGTACACTTGGGTGAGTTGTATGGTATAGAAATTACCATATATCTCAAAGCTGAGACAAATAAAACTTTAAAACTATAAAAAAGGAAGGCTAAATCTCTTTGGATTTCATTATTAAACTTTAATAATAGAAATAATACTTTGCTCCCCCATCTGTTTAGTCGCGTAATGAGTTGGACAAAGACAAGGTCAAAGTGTTCCTTAATGTCCTCTAGAAAGTGGACTTTTCAAAACAACGGGCTATAGTAAAACGAGTATAAAGGAACATGCCTCTGAAATCAACTATTCCACACACCATGAACACACACACACGATCCTCTAATATATATGCGTAATTAGATACATTATAAAACATACACTGGACTTGCTAGTTAAGCCATCCTTTCTGTGGATTATTTTATATTACCATCAGTGCATGAATGATTAAAGAAAGAGTTGATAGTATACACAATCGGAATATATGTTGGCCATAAAAAATGATAAAATCCTGTCATTTGTGGCAACTGTGGCGTGAACCTGGAGTCCATAGAAACAAGTCAATTAAAGTTGGGGACTTCAGACTCCACTTAGCAATTGATAGAACAACTAGACAGAAAATCTTCAAGAATATAGAAAAATTGAACAGTACAATCAACCAACAGGATATAACTGATATATTAATATGTAGAACACTCCAATAACAAAGGCAGAATATACATTTTTTTCCCAATGCCCTTGCATCTTAAGAGAAACTTAAACAAATGTAAAAGAATTGAAATAGTATGGAGTGTGTTCTCTGGCCATAATGGAATCAAATTAGAAATCAATAATAGAAGGACAGTAGGAAGATTTCCAATACTTAAAAAGTAAATGCACTTGAAAATAATTCACGAATAAAAGAAGTCTCAAAGGAAATTTTTTAAATGTATAGAACTGAATGGAAATGAAAATATCAGTACATCAAAATATGTAGGATATAGCCAAAAGCAGTCCTGAGAGAAAAATTTATAACACCAAAAGCTTTTAGAGAAGAGGAAAAAAAGGAAAAGAGGAAAGGTCTTAAATTAATAATCTAAGTTCCTACACCACCAGAAAATAGAAAAATAATAGCAAAATTAACCCAAAGCAAGCAAAAGGGAGGAAATTATAAAGATAAAACCAGAAAGCAATGAAATTGAAAATAGGAAAACAATAGAGAAAATCAATGAAACAAAAAGCTGACTCTTTGGGGAAAAAAATTCAATAAAATTAAAAAAACCTCTGCCAAAATGATGACGAGAGAGGTCAAAAATGACCAATATAAGGAATGAAACAATGTAAAAAGATGTCAGTGTATATCTGCAGCCATTAAAAGACTAAGAATGGAATACTCTGAACAATTTTATGCTCATAAATTCAATGACTTGGAAGAAGTAGAGCAATTCTTCAAAAACTACCAAAACTCAACCAAGATGAACACTTGAATAGTCCTATAATCATTAAAGAAATTGAATTTGTAACTTAAAATCTCCTGAAAAGCAATGTGTAGGCCCAGATAATTTCACTGGAAAATTCTACCAAATATTTAAGGAAGATTAAATACCAATTTTATATAATTTCTTGCAGAAAATAGAAGAGGAGGAAATATTTCCCAACTCATTTTATGAGAGTAGGATTGCCCTGATACTAAACTCAAATTAAGTACTAAAAAAAAGACTATAGACTAGTATCTTTCATAAACTCAGATGTAAAACTCCAAAATATTAGCAAATACACCAAAGTAAAGAAAGAATGAACACTATGACCAAGCAGGATTTATTCCAGATTTGGAAGGCTTATTCAACATATAAATATCAGTTAGTGTACTCTACCATATAAATAGGCTAAATATGACACGATCATATTAATTAATGCAGAAAAAGTAATTGACAAAATTTAGCACTTATTCATGATAAAAATTCTCATCAAATTAGAGGGGAAACCTTCTCAACCTGATAAAGAACATCTGTGAAATATCTACAGCTAATATAATGAATGACTAAATCCTT